CCCACTCCCTGCTGACCCGCCCCTCTGACCTTGCTGCTGTGCTCCCTGTGCTGCTGCGCTGCCCACGCTGCCCATGCTGCCCACGCTGCCCATGCTGCTGTGCTCCCTGTGCTGCTGCGCTGCCCACGCTGCCCATGCTGCCCACGCTGCCCATGCTGCTGTGCTCCCTGTGCTGCTGCGCTGCCCACGCTGCCCATGCTGCCCACGCTGCCCATGCTGCTGTGCTCCCTGTGCTGCTGCACTGCCCACGCTGCCCATGCTGCCCACGCTGCCCATGCTGCTGTGCTCCCTGTGCTGCTGCACTGCCCACGCTGCTGCACTGCCCATGCTGCCCACGCTGCTGTGCTGCCATGGTGCACTGCCTGCCCTGCCCATGCTGCACGCGCTGCCTGCCCTGCCCACACTGCCACACTGCCAGGCTGTGCCCCCCCCACTGCCAGTGCTGGCACTCACGGAGCAGGTCCCGCGCAGGAAGGAGAGCAGGTTGCGGCACACGGGCAGCAGGATCAGCATGCTGTTGAAGTTGAGGCACTTGGCCGATGCCCGGGCCCACGCCAAGGCGGACTGGGAGAGCAGAGCGGAAGCACGGGGTGAGCGTGGCTGTACCGTGCTGCTGCAGTTCACGGGGGTACGTTTGCCTGCCCCACACGCTGCCCCACGGGGCTGCCCCCAGCACTGGGCAATGCAGGGCTGGGCTGGAACCAGGACTGGGACCGGGACCGGGACTGGGGCTGGAGCCAAGTAATGTTGGGTTGGGGCTGGGCTACAGGCTGTGGCTGAAGGATGCTGGACTGGGACTGGGTGGGTGAGTGGGACACAGTGATATTGTGCTGGGACTGGGACGGGACTGGGACAGAGCGATGCTGGGCTGTGCTGGGACAGGAACTGGGATGGCGTGATGCTGTGCTCGGACAGGGACTGCGATGGCACGATGCTGTGCTGGGACGAGACAGGGCTGGGCAAGCGTGATGCTGGGCCTTACCCCGAGGATCTCCCTGGTGTAGAAGTACCGCTCATCGTGGTTGAAGTACACAAAGTAGTATGTGAAGAGGAAGACGTTGATGCCCAGCCAGACGGCCTGCGGAGGGAAAGCCGAGGGCTTCGCGAGCGCTGCCCCATGAGGGACCCCGGCCCCCTGCAGCCGAGGCTGGCCCGGCCTCGTCCTGCACCGTGCAGGGCACCAGGACAGCGCAGCTCCTCCTGCTTCCTTACGGTTAGAGCCGCAGTGGCATAGACGGGACTCGGGGCCAAAGGTGGGAACAGGCGTGGGAGTCTTGCAAAATAACTGTCTCATGGTCAACAGCGCATCATCCGCACACAAAGAATGAGGAAAGGAAGACAGAGCCAATATCTGCCGGGGCAGCTGGGTTATTGCTCGAGGGAGGGTCCCCAGGCAAAGCAGAGAGGCTGAGCACGGCTGGC